CAGGAAAATAGATAAATATTAAGCTACTAGTGAGTAGCAATTACTAATAGGTATATTCTTTCTTTGTGCCTATGTGTCGAGCTCGAGTAATTTTTAATATTAATTTTAAACAATTTTTTGCACATTTAAGCGCCCTGGGATTATAATAAGCTCAAATGGGGATCACCTAAACATAAATTTAGTCCAATTCATCTAGATTAGCTTTGTGAAATAATTTTTATTGTAATCTCACAATCAAGCTACCATAAAAATTATCTGTAATTTTAAAGCACTCGTGGTATTGCCCTCAATAATCTCCTAAGATTATTCTTGCTAAATATTGAATCTCTACCCTAGCAAACATAGTTTTGAGAATATCTATCATTCTGCAAATGTTAAATGAATGTGTACAAAAAATTACGGTATATTGACGCTTTGAACTTATTAGCTGATGTCAATTCTGACAACAAAAATTTCATGAGTTGCTTGTTTCCATAATTAGCATTAAGTATAACAGAACAAAGAAATTATGAAAACTAAAAACACTGGCAAATATTTTTGTTTCTTTACTGTATTTTACAAGGTATTTTATTTATTCAATGTGGACGCAATTTTTACTCTTTTTGGTACAAAAGTACCAGTGACAATTTTCTTAGTGATGTAAGGAAGATAATTAACAAAATAAAAAGGAAAAATTCCCGGGGTTATTATGGAATTACTTTTAATTATTATTTTATTATATTTTATCATATTATATTTATTTATTGTCGGGTCAAGCCCATTAAAAATTAACAAAGTGTACAAGTGAAACACTAAGTAAATAATAAAAGCAAAATGCCAATCAAGATAGATAAAGCAGAAACAAAGAATGCAGTAAGTGCCAAACCATGATACTTAATTAAATTAAATAAAATCAAATTAAGTTAAATCAAACTTAATACAAAATCACATAATAAAATAACAATAATTATAACTTGAGGCCAGTGACAGTTCTCTTAAATGGTTCATACGGCCCTAAAAAACGTCTCCCTGCTCATTACACAGTCTGAGGGTACGAGGAATGAAAGAGTGATATGCATAGTTGGTTCTGTAAAATTGAAGACGAAAAGTTTGAGATGTGTGGGTGCTACGTGATGGGACATGTAGGGCTATTTTAGAAGTCAAGTAGGAGCAATCAATTGTGGAATTTAGGATTTTATGTATCAGTTTGAGGTCTTTCTGCTTCCTTCTTGAGCAAAGGGTTGATAAGTTGCGTGTGTCACAAAGTGGTGCATAATGAAATTCCTCATCGTGAAAAAATTTGTAATTGAGATATCTGCAAAATTTACGCGCGATGAACATGACAGGCATAGTTTGGGTTTGGATGCAGCATACTCAAGATGTGTACGAACAAATGCGAAGTATAACGTTTTGATAGAGTTGATATTCACAAATTCCCTTGTACTACGTTTCACAAACCCAAAAATCCAAAGTGCTTTGTTAACTATGGCATCGATGTGTGAGAAGAAATCAAGATTGGAGCTCAGCAAAACACCCAGATCCCTGATCTGATTCACGCAGTCCAATGGCGTACCAATTATGTGATATATGCAGTCATTAAAAGTTCTAGACCTGTGGAATTTCATAACTTTACACTTCGTAACATTAAGATCCATGCCATTAGTTTGACACCACTGAATTAATCTGTCAAGATCCTCTAGCAGTGCATGGCAGTCATCACAAGTAACGATTTTCAAAAATAATTTTAAGTCATCGGCAACAAGAAGAAATGAAGAGTGTAGGAAACAGAAAGGCATTCGACTGTGTCTCACATACAATTATGATTGAGAAATCACAATACTACAATTTTCAACAGCCTTCTGTAAATCTTATACATTCATACACGGACTTCAATATGTTGAGTTAGAAAAAAGATCGGAGCAGACATGTGTTGAGTGTGGTGTGTCTCAGGGCTCTGTGCTGAGGCCTATCCTTTCTTTGCTGTATATCAATGATATAAAGGTGGGAGCCAGCAATGAGCTGCTTTTGTTGCTATTAGCCGATGATACATCCGTTACAAATACGGACAACAACTTCATACCCTTGCAGCAAAAGATGGTCGCAACACAGGAAAACATAAATGTCTGGTTTATTCGAAATAAATTAAAACTGAATGAACAAATAACGAAAACCTTTTTTTTTTACTTTTAAGAATATGGACGATGGGATCAAAAATGAGAGTGTTAAATTTTTGGGATTCCGGTTCGATCAAAACTTGACATGGAAGCCAAATAAAGAATATGTATCAAAAAAGCTAAACACTAGCATCTACATTATAAGATCGTAGAGTAAAATTGCACCCGAAAACACTGTTTTAATGGCTTACCACTCCATATTCTTGTCTCACTGTTTGTATGGACTTTTATTGTGGGGTCACCCTTGACATAGCAGCAGAATTTTCAGACTGCAGCGAAAAGTCTTGAGGATTGTTTTTGGTCTTAAGTATCATGCTAACATTGCCTTCCTTATTTATATTTAGATGTTGAATGGATGTTAAAGAAAATTTGAGTGAATACAGTTTAATATCAGAAACACACAATCACCAAATAAGAACTGATCTGAGCATCAGGTTACTCTTTATCAGGTTTGAGCACTCTCAGTATAGCAAAAACTGCTAAGCCCCAATGTTTTACAATAAATTGCCAAAAGAAATAAGAGCCCTGAAATTGAGTGACGAGAAACTTTCTTAGTTAAAAATAACAGTGTTTCAGATTTTTGATTATGTCTTGCTTAGGTTTTGTGTATGTTGTGACATACATTTATGTTTTTAGTTCAAGACATTTTCTGTGTGCATTTGATAAATATGTCCTTCATTTGAAACCTCGTTTGAAACTGGTAGGTACCTTCTCTAAAGACTTAAAAACAAGTGTGATTGTGTCAATTCCAAAAATAATTAAACCCTCAACTCCTGGTAAATTTCGGCTAATAAATTTGTTCCAGTAGTGGATAGAATCTTAGAAGCTATAGCATGTTTCAATTAGAATATTTTGAGAGCATGAAGCCATCAAACCGCAGATCAATAAGTAGCTGGAAAATGGAGAAAGGACATGAACAAAGGTAGTGATTAGTCTGGTGATTAGTGTTTTTGTGGACCTTAAACGAGCTTTCAAAACGATTTTATTAGAAAAATTGTTACTTTATGATGTTAAAGAAAAGTCACTAAGTTAGACTTGGAGACTATTTTGTAAACCAGTATCAAATGACAAAAATAGATAACAGTGTCTCTGCAAAAAGGGTACTTTAATGTTTGGGGTTTTCTAAAAGGTAGTGTGTTGAGCCCCCTTTTATTTGTTATTTTTGTGAACAATATAAGCATTGAATAATTGTTTTGTTATGTGTTTTTTAGCTGATAATACTCTTTACTTATGTCTGTATCAAGGACAAAATTTCATGAAATCACTGATATTATAAATGATGAATTGAGAGTACATTATATAATTGGTTGTGTAGAAATAAGTTAAAATTAAATACTTCCAAGACCAAGTGTATGATAATAGGATCTAAACTGTAGACAATTTAAAGTTGGTAGATGAAATTAGATATTTAGGAGTTTACTTGGATTCACAGCTATAGTTTGTTTCATTGAAGTTGATAGCTCAAATCAGACTTTAGGACTATAAAACCCGAGGGGTGTCTCACGGTCGGAAATAGGTATACAAATCTTTATTTTGAGATTTGAGAAATTACGGAAATTTCTTGTAAATTGTCAGAAATTATGATAATTTTCAGAAATTATAGGAAATGTTAGGAAATTTTGGGAAATGTTGGGAAATTATTCGAAATATTGGGAAATTATTCGAAATTATAGAAAATTTTTATTTAGTTCCTATCAAAGCTGAAAACATACTTATGTGTTTTTTGAGCCGAATCAAGCCATAATAAGGGTTGATTGGTCGCTTTCATGTTTTATGTCAAATTATAATTTTCTGAACTTTTCAGTAAGGCATACTTTTGATTATTTTGAAGATATATCAATTCATTAGGTGAGAAGCTGGGATACGATGAAACCATAGAAGATGAGGTAACTACAGTCGACGAGGCGCTGGAAACCGAGATAGACCTTGATGAAGAGGAGACGAATATGTCGCAATAAAAGAAGTGAAAGATCTGAACATAAAAAAATTCCTAAATCATGAAACGAGTTTATCTTCATCATTTTTGAGAATAAGATGTATGACGTCATCAAGACTAGAAGAAAGTCTACACTTTGCTGGTTATTCAAGGAAAAAAATGTTGCATCTCATTCTCAAGTGATCGTTTGATGAGGATACAGGGTGAAAAGTTGAAACTCCTACTTCCATCTACAGGGAGGAACGACTAAGGAAGCAAGGAGCAAATAAATAGAGGGCAGCAAAAAAAATAAAGGAACCAAAAAAGAAGGGTATCAAAACTGGCACGATTTTTGTACATCAACATACCGTGGTCAGTCAAGCGAAACTTGGGACAAGGACCTAGGGTGTCTGGTTAAAGATTTCGAGTTAACTTGGGTAATGCAACGAATTTACTAAAGCTATTGTGGAGCAGTGCGTTTAAAAATATGCTTTTAATTTATAAAACAGAGAAGATTGGTAGCAGAGTACTCAATATTTTTATTTATTTTTTTTGGAAAGAAGAAGTAATAGCTATTCACTCTTACAAATGTCCATACCAAATAAAACTGCATCATGTAGGTATACCAGTGGTAAAAGCAATGGAACTGCAAAAGACTTTTTTTACAAGGGTGTTTGCCTTTCTAATGCTCTGCCTAATGAAATTAAAAATGCATCTAGTGCACATGTTTGATAAGGTGTTTACCAGATATCTGAGACAGATTCCTTGATAGCCAAGTGCTAAAAAAATACCTATTTCATTGCATTTCATATTGGGGAATCGGGAATCCAGACTTGATATGTGCTACTAAATATCCCTCGAAATATCCTCAACTTGTGTAATTTACTAAATATATATTTGAAGTGAAAAGATATAGTTCTTTCCAATCTTACCTTATATGTTTGAAGCCGATATCCTCAGAAGTCACGTTCTTCCAGGCCCCATGCAAATAGTCTCGACAGATTCTGGCAGCCAGTTCTCTCATATGAGCATCTCCCTGTTTTGGAGGAGAAAATAAATTAGACCACAATATTTTGGGCAATCTGGGCATTTCAATTTTACTTAGAAAACTCTAGATTCTAGTGGATATTTGAAATAATAATTGTTTGCAAAAATACAAGAGGTGTAGAGTTGTAGGATGTTTAATCAATAATAAAACGCAGGCGCCTCTGGTGAATGAGCCATTTGTTGAGTATATTTTGTTTTGTGAGTAAAGAGGTTATGTTAGTTGAGAAAAATAAAAATTCCAACTTAATTTATTCCTACCTTTTTAATTCCAGTATCCAGCATTTTGCTCGCAAAAAATGTAAGACACTTGTTTAGAAAAATAACGTAAACGATGAGGTTACTAAGAAGGTACCGAAAAAACGTTAACGTAACGAAAAAGTTTCTTCACACTCAAAAATCAAAAATCGTTCTGTAACGACTGCTAAAATTGAACTGACGATTTTGCCGGCTAGTAGTTCGTCTTTATAAATTAATTGCGCAAAATTGCAAATAAACCGATAAGTAAATACTGAGTAAATAAAACCGCTAGAGCCTCGTTTTAATTTTTTTGCAACTCGTGAACTTGTAGCTGTAAACAACCGTTCAGGTATAAGCTTGATTCACAAATGTAGGAACCGCCAATGCGACAATGCAAGATTAATGAAATTGTTGGAATACCACTAGCCTAAACAGACACACTGGGTAAAATTGAGAGCTATGGGACAAAATAAGAAAATCATAAACTTAAAGGACGCGTTCCCACCCACCAGACGATTTTAGTTGAACGAGTCTTGTTGATCAACTAGAAATACTAATACTAATACTAGAATTATATCGACTTTTATCTTGAATTATTATCTGAAATATTTATCGGAAATCTATCCGCACTGCTTCTACTCAAATCGTTTAAGCAATGCTGTCAATAAATCTGAGGAAACCCGGAACATTGTGAGAGGGGTTACTGTGGTAAAAATAGTCTTGGTCCACAAGAAATTGACATTGATCAACCTGTCCTTTTCATCAGGCACTTCTCCCCCTAGTCTAGTCCAGTGGCGGCTCGTGGAGGAATTATCCTGGGTAGGCGGAGGTGGCGAACATGTGAGGACGCGTCGATATTAGAATAAAATGCATAGGCGAAGAAGCCAGAGGAGAAATTTTCTTTTCGGGTGCCAAGCCTTTAAAGCTTGTGAAATTGATGCTAAGCTTGAGTGTTTTCCACATGACACGGCAATTATTGAATGTCATAGATTTCATGTCATAGAATCCCTGCGAGACCCACACATTATGTCTATTTTTTGCTACTAATAAGCATGGCCAACAAAACAAGCTTTGTCAAAATTTCCACTCAACCAGTGATGACTGTCATACCAATGAGGTTTGAAAGATCGCGAAAAACTTTGTCCTCCTTTTTTGTCCGTTTTTAAAATACATATTTAGAATCGGCTTAGGTCGTCCAAAAACTACAATTTCACGTCGATCGTCGTCTTTGCCGAGAAAACGGCATTTCCAGCAAGAAACATATTATGTCATGTTTGGGATCAAAAATGTTCTTCATTATCACTATAATTCACTTGAAACTGAAACACTGAAGTATATATTAAAAACAAAGGATTAATTAGCGGGCTTGCTAAATTTCATTTATCAGTCATCAGAAATTTCAAGAAAGCAAAATGATCCAATTTCTAGCGAACTGACTAAATAAGATCAACAAAATGTTGTAAGTTAGCACACCTAGCGGGCCGAGTAGCGGGCTAACTGCGAAAAAAAGGCAGCTTTTCTTAGCAGTCGCCATAATGCGCAGATATCGCGTGAGAAAAGGATACAGGCGCTCGCAGCCATCGCCTAGCCATGCCATTTAAATCGCATATTCGCATATAAAATTTCCATACGGTAGCATAGGGCGAGCTAAAGGCGACTGGTAAAAAAGCAAACCGACTTGTAATATTTTTCGCTACACTATTACACGTCCCGTGTTTGTGTTTTACTTTAGTTTTAGGTTTATTTAAATCAGTGAAGGAATTTATACATTCATAATTATAATAATAAATTAAGATTTTCATGACTTTGTGACTCAAAATTATTGAAAATAACACTAATATTTAAGGGTAGGCGGCGCCTACTACCTTGCCTACTCTGACGAGCCGCCACTGGTCTAGTCTCAAGGGCGCATCGGTAGTACCGATATAAGCTGGCGGGTTCGGGATAGCCCAGCGGTGCTGGAGTAGAGTTGGAGTGGCGTTTTTATCACGTGACCAAAAAGCTTTTGGAGTGGATTAATGAAACCGAACGGCCAGGGTGCATTTGGAGTTTCTTAACTTGACCTAACCCACAAATGACAAGTAATATTTTAAAAACAACAAACGTTTTTCTAGTCTTTCCTATCAATTTTTGGTATTTGATGCCTATATTTGATTTTGTTGAGGACGTTTATTATTATTTCGGAAACTTGTCTGAAGCAGTTATCAAGATTATCATTGAAAATTTCAGTGAAATTACACGTTGCTCGCATGTCAAATAGGCAGTTTAAAATCCATTTTATTGCATCTATTTACCAGGTAATTACAGATTAAATATTGATTTGTTGACTGTCGATTAGTCGAATAGTCGATTGTTGCAATAAAAAAAAATAGGATAAATGATACAAAATCACGAAAACGCAAACACTGCGCATGCCCGCTCTGGCGCTTGCTAATGACGAGGTGGTGCTTTCAGAGTCAGCTCTTTTGACTCCCGCACGTCCTTCCCGAACGCATGTGGAGTTACTCTTTTAGCTCAAAATGACAATACCCGAACGCATCGGGAGTGTTTATTCCACTTAGAGTTTATAGAACAGTCATCCCGAACCCACCTATATAAGAGCGGAGATACAAAAGAGCCATGAAATTATCGCCCACAATCATTGCTGTCAACAATATCCAAAGTAATAGAAAAACTTCTCGAAAAACATATGATGGAGTTCCTATCAAAACATTAAGTTTTCAACTCGGCCCAATTTGGATTTCTTCCTAAAGAAGGGTACACCCATTATGATGCCATGTTTCGCGTGCTAGAACAACTTCTTAACCACTACAACACTGGCTTTGCTACCGCGGGAGTGTTCTGTGACTTCTCAAAGGCCTTTGACTGTGTGAATCACAAAATATTGCTAAGGAAGTTAAAGGTGTACTACCGCTTTCGGATTGTGAGCTTAAAGTGGTTCGAATCATATCTTTCACATCGCAGTCAGCGTGTCATCCTGGATGGAAAATGTTCTTCTGATGAATCAATCGTCCATGGGGTTCCACAAGGATCAGTCCTGGGATCAATATTATTCCTCACATAGTATCTACATCAATGATCTTCTCTACCTTAATATATCAAGTGCGTTCGCGGATGATTCAAAGGCTATGTGTGTGGCACAGAGGAAGTCCCGATGAGCTGGATTTCTGATGACATCAGGACCATAAAGTGTTGGTGTGATGCGAATGCTTTTTAACTTTAATAACGTGAGAAGACTCGAAACAATAAAAGAGGATAGGAAAATGACCAGAACATCAGTTTGGTTTTCGTGACAAGCAATAAGCATGGAACAATAGAGCAAGTGCGATAGGCTGATCATAAACAATAAAGACCTAAACGCTAAGAGATACTGTTCAGCTGCCTTTCTTGATATATCCCAAGCCATTGACAAGGTGAGGCACACGGCACACGGGACTACAAGTCATATTAAAGATAAAGAATAAGATCCTTCCTTACCACCATTTCCAACTACTAAAATCCTATGTATCAGATAGACACTTCTTGGTGGAACAAGGAATCGAATACACTGATATTCACCGTATATCTTCAGGCGTTCCTCGAGGTATCAGCGTTCTGGGCCCAATATTATACCTTCCGTATACAGCAGACCTACCAACAACAAGAACTACTACGGTAGCAACATATGCTGACGAAACCGCTATTCTGGCAACTGATCCAATACTAGCCTCAAGAAATATTCAAACAAACCTAAATAAAATTCAGTACTGGTTAAAAACTTGGCGAATTAAAGCTAATCAAATTAAGTCCACACTTGTGACATTTACATTACGCAGAGAAACATGTCCCCCTGGACCCCCTGTAAGGATTAATAATCATCAACTCTCACAAGCCGAAGATGCTAAATATCTCGGCATGCACTTAGACCGCCGCCCCACATGGAAAAAACATTATAATTTATCAAACGCAAGCAGCTAGGACTTAAACTAAGCCATATATGTATTGGCTCATTGGCCGAAATTCTAAACTATCACTGGATAATAAAATACTACTATACAAGTCCATTCTTAAGCCCATCTGGACTTATGGCATTCAGCTATGGGGTACCGCCACGCCAGTACCTCCAACATTGACATCTTGCAAAGGTTCCAAAACAAAATATTGCGCGTCATCGTCGACGCCCTTATTTATATATCCAACGCATCAGTGATCCAGCATGACATCTTTCTGGCATCCGTCAAGGAAGCCTTACATCGATTTAGCGCGAAGTACATCCAAAGAGTGCTAGCGCATCCTAATGCGTTGGCCAAAGAATTAAGTGTGTCTCACAACAACGCAGTGCGTATACTAAAATCGCTGGTGTCATTGTATCTAGCTGTAGAACCCAGATAGTTTGGAAACGCTTATTGCCCTGAGAGCAGATTGCAGATCTCTCCAGGAGTAAAAAAAGAAAAGCTTTAATAGGATTCAGGTGCTTGGGTTCCGATGCAATGTTGATGATACTGATTGTGATTAGTTCTCCATCAAATTCTCTCTAAATACCAAATTTCTTGGACTTCCAATTGGTGTCCATCTGTGTCACTGTACTTGAAAAGAAACTTGCTTATGGTTGCTACTGTGTCAGATCGAACTGTCTCCACAAATTATGGACGCAACCATAGCAACATCAGTTTATTTTGCATTAATACAATCTCACCTTTTGGGCCATGTTGTAGGTATTAAGTAACTTGTTTCAATCAGTTGTTGAATTGGTTAGTCTCACACATAAACACATATCTTCGTTCCTTGTACACCAAACTATCTTTTCCACACGACAGACGAACGATATTATACCGCTTCCCATTCCGCATTCTACTCTTGTTTCTTGTGAAGAAATCAATCATCTACAATAGCGTTCAAAGGTGGTTTTAACCACCTTATGTCTAATAATTTGAATTTTGAATCGAACAAAACTCAGTAACTAAAAGTTTGAATCAGCCATCAACCCATCATTAAGTGTTATACTCAATTTATGTTTTTTGTCTATCGTCGCTTTATTTCAACCCACTGCAAGATAGTCTGCCGCTAAGTTTATCATATCCCAACAGCTCGAAAATATATCCATCCTTGTCTCACTGATTTAAATACGCACTAAAATTCACTAATTTGATGACTCAGGTAGCAGTTGGGAGTAGGAAAAATGCAATGGAAAAATGTAATAATGACGTGGGGAATGGTGGGGTGATTGCTTTGCGTGCGTTTACTTTGGATACTTTAGATAATTGCCTATGATAAAACATATTTCTGTATTTAATATAAAAATGATAAGAATTCTAATCAAGTGACTTTTTAAATTTAAATTTGTAGATAAAAATAAAATAAAATTTACGATAGAAACGCAGTCAATAGTGGCGCCACATCCGTAAGCTGTCTCCGTACCACGTAACGTCACACGATGAATGACGTCAGCGCCTATCCAGAAATCTTGCCAATAGTATTCCAAATTTTAGAATTTCTTGATTACAGTGAATCATGTCATCAAACTGATTACCTTGACCCTGTTTCAATTATTGTTTTAATGGACACACCATATAATTTACTCTACAGAGTTGCTAGTGCATTTGACGGTTGAGCATGCACAGTTTCTATTTCGAATAAGAACAACCTTTTATAATAAGCCTTATTTAGGAGAAAAATGGGTAGGTAGGTACCTATACAATGGTATTATCAAAAAATAAACCATTTGTTTGGCGCGAGCGATTGCTTTCACAGAGTTAGAAATTATTGCATCAGAATATCAAAGAAATTTCAAAACAGAATGAATAACCTGCCAATCCGTAGGCACTGCATCTGATCCAGTACTCTTGGATTCCTCTAAAGCCCCAACTTTTCTTAAAACATCCTGAAATATCGACCTGGTAACAACGTTACTGGCAGATCATGGCGATTTATAATCACGTCGTCGTCGTGACCAATTCCCTGAAACAAGATCCAATAGAAAGCCTCTCTCAGAATCCTTGAAGTCCTTGAGCCATTCGAAGTACATGTATTAATGCCTTGATAATCAGCCTACAAAATATCATATTCATATTCCAATCCCTCTTCCATTTGCAGCACTTCAGGAACCGAAAGCGTAAAAAAAACATCCCAATCGCATTGTGGTGCTTTTACTTTAGATGTCAGAGACAGTTAAAATAATCATAACCGCAAAAGTCAAAACAGCACTGAAGTCAAGGAATTTATTAAGGGCGGTCAATTGTGAGTTTTCACTGTGGTATGCTACTGGCAAGAAAAATAGATAGGTACACACTCTCTATTTGCTCCAGTGGTGGTGGCCAGCATTGGACTGGCACGAGCAAGTGTTCACACGATGAACTGTTCAACTGGAACGTCAGTGAGACTGGCGCCAGCTACTGGATACGTGTAGATCGGCCTTTATGATCGTTAGGAATGGAACCTATTAAAGGCTGTTCATTTGTACTTGCTACCTGCTCGAAAAATCAGGAAGATCTGCTAGGAGCTGCTATTTATGAGCTTATTATATGGGAGTTATGGGACAAGTGAACGCCGATCAGCTGCCGAGATTTGCTTGAAGCAAAAAAAGCAGTACAAATTATGTGACTATCCAAGATGCTGTAAAACTTATATTAAAATGCCCGCCAAGAGGCACACAAACCCTTTTTTTGCTTGGCAAAGTCACGTGTTTTGGATAGGCTAATTAGGTTGCTTATTGCTTTTGAATTACAACTCATCAAGGAACATACCATTAATCAACACTTCTGCTGTTGACTTATGTAGGACGCTGGAAACAATAAGTCCTTGGCCGTTCTCTCGTTCCATGAGGAAAGTTAAATTCCCCAGTAATCAATACCATGGCATTTTGCATTAGAACACACCACACAACCAATTATCAGAGAATCCCTCGGAGAATCCTTTTCTGATCTTATTTGCCCATGAATTGTCAAATGCTGGATTATTAAAGCTGGGAAAGCTACTTGAGCTTTGAACTAACAGCCGCCTCCCCTTTTACAGTTTAATGTTTCATTTATTATTTATATAATATAAATATTAGGTCTGTTTCTGCAGAAATCACGAACCAGTCAGAGTGAATTTCATTGGTTGAAATTAGTTTTCTGACTGTTTTCAACCAATGAAATTTGCTCTGACTGGTTTGTGATTTCTGCAGAAACAGAAGCATTAGGTATATTTGATTTCCAATCAGAAAATAGATATTAACTTCTATCTGGCCTGTATACAGGGTGATTTAAGTAGACTGTTATTAGATGCTATTTCTACAAATCCACCTGCAAACTGGACAACTTTTAATGCGTAAATCAAAGTGTATAGTATTTTTGAATTTTAAATTCCATCATTTTAAGCATGTTTTATTGAAAGTTCTGAAGCCCACTACGTTTTGGTGATATAGAAAGACATATACTGTTCATCTGGGGTCAACTTTAATTTTGTTGTTGGCTCAGAGGAAAAATCCATTTAAACCTAAATGTAATTTTTCATGGAAACAAATATTAATTTTCTTTTGGATTAATAATCTATTTTGCCAGATCAGCTCTATAAAGCCGACTATCACACTTGTTACCAGATTTTCAAGTGACCTGTTAATCATAAGCACGAAGGACCATGATTGTGATGTCATTAATAGTACATAGTTCTTATTAATGCAAAAACGAAAAATTAAAACACAAAACGGTTCTTTTTCATTTCATTTATTTTCAATTTAACTATTTAATAATTTAAAAATACAGCGCTAGAACAAAACAAAAATGAAATGAAAACATAATGTATAAAGTCTAAATAATAACAAAAACAAATCTTAGCAGTCTAAATTTAATTCTCTTCTTTATTTATTTACCTAATCATGATGAGTGTATTGTTCATATAGCTATTATGTTCTTTTTTTTTTGGAAACTATTTGGTTGAGAATCCTAAACCAAAATTAATATCATTATTTATACAGGAGTATTTTATTATTATATTTTTTTTAAACTCTTTAAACCTCTTTCTCTCTCTCTCTTAATCGTGACTAGAATAGAAATCAAGTACTTTTAAAAAAATACTTGGCATTTTTATCGACTAGAAAAATTATACTACATTCTCTTTTTTCAACTTAAAAGGAAATAAAGACATTCTCGCTTATAAACTTGACAACATTTCAAAAACAATAAATACAGTTCGATGTAGGCATTCACAACTAAAAATTTGATTCAGAAAAAAAGTGATGTTGCCAAATCTCAATAATAAAAATCACAACGTTTCAAATCACAAAAAAAAACTTATTCCCATAGGTTAAAAAAATTGCACTTTCCTATAACGCAAAGTTTAAATAATAAATTAATAAATGTATACGAGAATGAGTGCTGACTTTCTATGATTCAATTTTTGACATTAAATGTTCGACTTTTAAATCAAAATAGACATTAAGGAGCTGATTTATACAATAAAAAATATTCAATTTTCCACATTAATGTGCGATTTCCACTTTTGAAAAAGCTATTTTTTTAAAGCACAACAATTTTTCTGCCCGATTAATATTTTTTCAAGCATCAAGTGAAAAAAAAAAATAACAAAAATTGTCAAAAATATGGTTTTATAAATTATTACATCAGGACCTCTGTTTCTTTTTTGTGTGCTCCGGCTATCTATGTTTAGAAGTTACATTAATGATATACAATGATAGACCAAATTATTAAAATGAAAATGTATTGAAAATTTGAAGCTAAAGGTATGGTTTTAAGCCAGTGTCTTTTTTGTACCAGATCTGATCTTTGTGCCACATAGAATAGTTTAATATTTATTTATAATGCCAATTAGTAAAAGCTTCCTTTGTTGTGAAAACGCTTAAAGTAAACCATACCATAAGAATAACAAATTTTGTCAAGTGTTTTAACTATGTTAACCAGTTATTCCAAAGATTCTCATCATTGTATAACTTTATAGTTTAATTTTAATAATAATATACTAAAGTAACAATTTGTTTTTCCCTCTATGTAACTTTTAATTTTCCTGTAACTATTTACTCCACATCTAACGCAATAATCATATGGCTATTTTACTTAAAAATCCAAAAGTTACATAATCGAAAAAAACGTCCCTCAAAAAGGTTAACATAACCTTCTATAAGATTCGAAAAAAAATCACTAAAATTGAATCACTTTTAAAGCTTTACAAGCCTGAAGACCGTTTATTATAATAGCGACGTCGAAGTTCACATTTATATAATATTTGTTTTTATACAAAAATTTTACATTAAACCCCAAAAAGACAAGGTGCTAATTTTTGTAGCGTTCTTTTTTTTATTAATTTTTATCCTAGGAAATTTTATAAACGGCTTTTACCTTAAAAAAGAGACAATGGGGGTGGGTGTCCATCTAAGCCACACCCAGTAAATCACAAGCCGCTCCTCTGAATTCCATCTCACATGCTCCCTTATCGTAGTAGTTTTTGCCATAACTACGTTACTGGTCGGAATCTTCTACATCTAACTTGCGATTCTGAAGGTGGATCGCCTCCAGGTGGCGGAGGTGGGGCACCTTCGGACGATTCGGGACTGCTTTCTGGGGCGTCTATGAGACAGTTAGAGATTCCTCTGCCTTTAAGACCTAAAAGATAATATTGCGAATTTTTGTTTAAATATTAAAAACCGAAGACTATTATTGGATGAGGATGGTTTATACCTGAATGGGGAAAATATCCAATGAAGGAAGCTACGCAACATTGAAAAAGGATAATAGGATGATGAGACTTGGGATGAGGAGTGGCCTGGAAGAGAAATTTTGATTAGGATAGCAAAAATATAAATAAATTATGTAGTTGTCCTTCAGATATTATTGGCGTAGCAACATTCTTGGAAATTTGGCAGGTTAACCCTCGTATAATAATGACATAGTATTATAATACGGGATACGAGGCCTATTTCATCAAATCATTTTACACCGTCTTGCATTTATTTATTGAGTTAATTTGTACACAAATAAAATTGGATTAACACATGCAAGACGTTTTCATGGAGGTTTTAGGGATGTAATATTAGATAGAAATTTTTAATTTTTCAGAGGGATGAAATATCATTTCACACCACTCCATTGTTGATTTAGATTAAAGCTTGAATGTAGAATAGCCACTGGATACTGATACAAGACGTCCTGTGGAGGGATAACGGGCTGCAAGACGGAGGTCAATGGTCAATATGTTGTCTTATGAAGGAGTAAATCATTTCACATCGTCTTGCACTGGTACTAATGGGAAAAACAGAACACTTGATAACATTTTTAAAAATACAAGACGTTCTAAAATGGGAAGATAGGACTGCAAGACAGTCATGAAGTTGGCTAATTTTAACGAGGGTCAATCCATCAGGTACAAAGGTGAATACTACTCCAAATTACAAATTACGCACATTAATTTTAAATATTTTTGCTCTTTACCATGTAGAATAATTCTATTTTGGAAAACTCTCTTAATCTATAGGTTCGTTCCAACCCCCCTTTTCGTATCGTCATGAAACGGTTTCGGAACTGTTAGGATCGATTGCAGGCGCATGCGTTGACCTTGCACGGTTTTATCTTGGTTCAGAAACAACGGGTAGTTGGAACGGTTTCATGATCGTTTTCGTAATGACGACAGTTCAAATAACTTTAACCCTAAATTTGTTTGTTTGCAAATTAAAATAGAAGAATATAGGATTAGGATTACAAAATAATATATAAAAAAGGAAAATCGAACACCAACGCTGATTCATTATCAAGAATCTAAAACTGAATCCTTGCAAGCTGATAACATCAAGGATTAGCAAATAGCTGATAATAAATTTTGTACTTTTTTTCACTTGAAAAAATAAAAATGCTACAGTTTTATAAGTTAGATTGGAAATTGGTTGTTTAACAACAACATGAACAACAAAAACAAGTGACAAAAATTGAATTACGCATGTCAGTCATGAATCAGTCCACGCGGTTCTTGCTTTCCACTCGGGATCGAAATGACGGTGCTAAAACCAGTTCTCGAACGATCCCAGGTTTGGTTGGAACGCCAACAAAACTGTACGGTAAACGATCATCTCTCGGTTGGAACGCGTTTAACCTATGGCGCATGACCGTGACCGTACATTGTACGGTGTACGGTTTTTGGCTGGGTTGGAACGAACCTTATATATATAAACGTGAAATTCATTCACTCACTGACTGACTGGCTGACTGACTGATTAAACACGAAATCTCGAAAACTACTAAACCAATCGAGATGAAATTTTGCAAACAGGTAGGTAATAGGTTGGAGATGCTCACTAAGAAATAATATCAACATGGCCTTAAGCAATCGCCTTAAATAACCAAAAATAAGAAACGGTGTGGTGCGGGCGGAAGTGCGGGGAAAAAAGTGTAAACAGAAACAGACGACGTGTCAGCTGTCAAATTCAGAAATATGACAAGTAGAATCAAATTCATAGCGATTTCCATTTGCAGAATCAGTGTAAAAAAAAATGTGTTTTTGTCGTTATATTTTCATGTTTTCACCAGAAGCGATTCGGAACCGATTCTGAACAAATTCCACCGGTCCCAGGCTAAGCTTACTTCAAGTTTGAGACATGACATTCGCAATTCGTTCACGTATTCGACAGTCTGGAGCAAGGTTCTGGAGTTTTTGTTCTGTTCCAAAACTGTTCGCGATAAAATAGGAACCCGTTCACAAGTTGGGTTAGTTTGGGTTAGTCACTCCGAGTTACTCCGATCGCACTCCAGCCGTTATCTGATAAAGGTAATACCCGAACGGCTGAAGTGCGAACGGAATCACTCGGAGTGCACGGAGTGAGCAAGCCGAACCCAGCTATAACTGGGCATGCGCTCTACGATAGTCCTCAATTAGTTCCGGACTGGTTCGGAATCGGTTCAAAATATAATCCGCGAACAAAGCTATTAGCAGCGAGTGGCACTTCAAAAAAAATTTAATGTAAGCTGTCAAAAAATAGTCTTCATAGTCGTTTTCTCGCGGGGCGAATGGTTCGAACACGGTTCGAACCGCGGTTTAAACCAAGAATATTTCTAGATGACGTCATTACGTGTCAACGCGAGAAAATGAGAGGTTTGGGGTTTGAACCACAACCTTACGTCAACGAAGGAAAGGAATGATGGCCTAACCCTACTTTTTTTCAGTTTGGCGGGACGGGTAGAGTATTCAGTGACTGTGATCTCTTTTTGAATAATATATTATTTTTGATTTTGTCCAAAGTAAAGGAACTAGTTCCCTTATCATAGTAAGAATCATGGAAATTTTAACAATTTTAATTAATAGACCATCGTTGGCACAACAATTTCTACTGCAATGGATAAATAGAGAAGATGCTTATTTATTGAATTATGCATCCCTGGACCCCTTCGAGCATCATATACGACCGTATGCATATTGCCAAAATTGGCTCCCTGAGTACTTGGAGTACGATTTCATTCAGCTTTTCCGAGTGCACAGAGCTGCCTTTAATAGCTTATTGCAACAAATTCACCAGGGATTAAGTATTCCATATGTAGGAGGAGAAATGCCAATATCCCCAGAAAAAAAACTCATGATGACTTTGTGGTGGCTTGGAAAAGGAGAAACTCTTTTGTCGGTTTCTCATAAATTTAATGTGGCTTTGTCAGCAGTCCACAAGTGCATATATGTTGTATTAGATGAAATTATTAATTACTAATAAATACCATTTATTATTTGAGTAGTGTTAGATTTCAAACTAAACCGACAACGGTAACAACCAACTATAACCTCAAACTCTCGAACAAAAGAAGAAATCCAACCGAACAACAACAAACAAAACCGACAGCGCATGCGTCTATTTTTGGAACATGCCATGAGTCCGGTTCGAACTTTTTTGAACCAGGTTCAATGTGACGTCACTGGTTCAACGCGAGAATGTACAGTTTCGAAACGAATTGAACCGCGTTCAACCGGTTCCATCGCGAGAAAACGGCTCATAAGTTGTATTCCTTTCACACCTAGGAGGAGCTCCGGAACAGCTCCGGGGCTTCACGCGCTTATTCCTTTCGAAAAGTGTTTGTTGCACCACGCATCTGTTCCTTGCAAATCGGGAATCGGGAACGACTGAATACCGGAGCGAGTAGCTCGAGTGCTTCAAACTCTTGAAAGGAATACAACTATATTCTGCAGCCACAAGGCAGCACAAAAAATGTGGTTTACAGAGAGGTGCTGTAAAAATAAGAGTTACATGACCATATGTCTGACGCAACTATCCCCTTAGCTCTTTGAAAGAAGATTACCTAATGCTACCCTACACCTACAAAATTTGTATAGGGCGTGCGAAGCCGCGGGCAACAGCTAGTAATATGTATATTTGAATGTCTCTACGGACATCAAATAAAAAAAGGTTTAAATTAAGAAATTTCTTGGTAAATTACAACGATCTTAGGCGCTACAACAATATTTTTTTTTGTCGCCATAGGTATACAGGGTGCGACAAGAAATTATTTTTTTTAAATGGAACGCCCTGTATATTTTTGCAGTTTTGAAATTCTCAGAAAATTAGCTTCACAAAAATATCAAACACTATTTGGATAACAAAAATATACAGGGTGTTTCATTAAAAAAAAAACTTTTTGGCGCACCCTGTATACCTATGACGACAAAAAATATCGTTATAGCGCTTAAGGTTGCAATTCACCAAGAAATTTTCCAACCTAAACATGTCCTTTATTTTCAATAATAAGAAAGTTACTGAGTGTTCCAGTTATAAACAAACACCCAGTACCTATCGTACCAACTTGTGCTTTATCCTTATTTACCAGAGCCCTGAAGATGGATATAAATAAATCCGAAAAGTCGGCAAAGAAATAATTAGTTTCTTTTAAATTCGACCAATAAACCCACAATCCTTAACCCAAAATATATCAAATTGGTCACTAACAGATAACATTATCACCGTTTGGGTATTTTTTTAGACACAGGAGTAGGTAGGATGGCAGCGAATGGTTTTTTGACAACGATGGGAATAAACTACGGTGAGCAAACTGTACGAGACCTAAAAATATGGGCTAATACAACAAAAAGCTTGGCGAAACAAAAAAATCACAAGAAGTTTATGTTACAATGTAGACAAAAAGATGTGTTAGGTACCTAATCATATTTTGCAATTCTCACAATGTATACAGAATATCTGTGGTGGTGACAGTCCCTTTGTAAATGCATGTCATCGGGCCCTCAAAACTTTCCAAAGAAAAATTTTAAATATAGAAATAGATTTCTGTCACTAAGTCAATCCAAAAATAGTGTCAAAAAAAACTTTACCTAATGATATTTTCAACGAATATGGAAACAAACAAAGAGTTATATTTAATCAAATTTTTAAATCGATCAAACACAAACAAATAAAAAAGCTTGATAATCTGTTGAAGAAACAATATTCACCTCTTAACTTTGCCATTCAAGAAAAAGTGGTTTCTAAACTTAACCAATGTTGTAATTCCCGACGATGCTCAATTGTTCTTGGGTTTGGGTGATAAATTTAATCTACCCTACAATAATAGGAATTTACCTCTAGAACAAATTATTATTGATAGTGATGAGTAGGTACCTATATTCTGGGCAAAATTGAAAATCA